TTTACCAAAAATTAAAAAAATATTCACTAAAATTAGAGAATTAAAGATATCACCATGAAATGAACAAATCTGAGAGAGGACCACATGTAGTACCTATATATGTAGTATCAAAGCAATTGGACATGCGGTTTTTAACAAGAAGTCGAAATTATCACTTTTTACCAAAAATTACAAAAATATTCACCAAAATTAGAGAATTGAAGATATCATCATGAAATGAACAAACCTAAGAGAGGTCTACCCAAGGTACATATACACCAAGTATCAAAGCATTCAGGCTTGTAGTTTTCAAGAAGAAGTAGTAAAAGTAAAACAATGACAAGGACGACGACGAACAATCACTCACATGATAAGCTCTGCTCGACAAAGTCGACAGCGGAGCTAAAAACAGATCATTTTCCACAAATCTGGTTGAATACACTGACTTTTTATCCCCGGGGGGTCACTGTATATGTCGTTACTACACACCATGTGCGTTACAAATTTAGCGGGAAAGGTGGGTGTTTTTCACCTTCTAATGCGGGTCCGCGCGCGAGGCAAATAGGCCCCCTTTAAAAGGCTAATGTTTGCAATAGGCTCCCGGGAATAAACTTGCAGGGTTGCTGCACCCACTGTGGGCCATCTCTTGCAACAACCACTCCCATACACTGCCCTAGGCCCCTGTAGCTTGTTTGAGTTGACCACACTCCACTTGAGTGCAGAAAACGGCAGAGAATGCTCGCAATAAGGGGTAGGATGTTCTCAATATATGTCTGCAATAGGGGGTGCTTTTTCTTCAATATGTCTGTTCTAGAGGGAGGGTACTAAATTTACATTGCGTCTGCAATAGGGGATATGGTTTGCCAATGTGCTGCCAGCAATGGGGGGTCTATTATTTTTAGCAAGAATGCACATGGTGTAAGGTGAAGACTTGGGTATCCATTTAACTTCTAACCTGTAATATAATCATCATATCAATTCTATTCTTTCTAGGGCCTTAATTAAAATCTCTGGGTTTTATTAAACGTTCTTGTTATAGCTTTAATGATATTTCTGCAATTATTTGTTTGTATCTTGTTTATGTCAGATCTATTCTTGAATATGGTTCTGTGGTGTGGTCCCCTCATCAAAAAGGGCTTTCTAACAAAATTGAAAATGTGCAATTTAAATTTGTTAAATATTTATGTAGAAAAGTTACATGTGCATTGTAGTATACTTGCTAATATTTACTTTTATGTTCCAAATAGGTGTTTGAGACGCAAACTGTGAATCAGTCAACTGTAGGAAGCATTCGTCACTTTTATGCTGTATGACATTATTTAATGGCATTTCATTTAAATGTAATATTGATATTTTTTCATCTTTATATAGTTTTAAATCTGTACTTTATAATTATTTTTAATTTTAATTTGTTACTTTGTCATTTGGATGTATATCTGCTTATTCTTGTATTTGTATGTGTTTTCTTTATGTATTGTTTATTTTTCCAGTTCTCTTAATGGGTTTGCCCATTGAACTGTGTAATAAATAAATAAATAAATAAATAAATAAATAAATAAATAAATAAATAAAT